CCTATTACTGAAAATTGATTTTCAATGGTAGACCTAAAACTACCAAATACTTGATTAAAATGAGCCTCTGTTTTTGTTAAATCTTTATTTAATTCTTTTCTTATAGGATATAAAAAATTATCATCACATAAATCTGATCCTTTTTGTTCACATAATTCTTCTAATTTCTTTATGAACAAAGTATAACCTCCATCACAGGCCATACAATCAGATTTACTTAATTTATTATATAATTTCATATTAACCATCATATTTCCATCTGAACTTTCACTACAATATTCCGATTTTGAAACCCATAAAATCATATCATTCATATCTGATATGATTTGTGTTCTTACTCCTGATGTTTTTAATTTATATGAATATAATTTTTCTTTTTTTATATCTGTATTAACATAATTAATTCTTGAATCATGACCATCAATAACTAATGTAACATGTTTAAACATTTCAGGATTATTTTTAATACTTGTATATAACCTTAATAAAGGAGTTGAAAACATTTTATCTAAACAATTATTAACTTTTTTATATAATCTTCTGTAATTATCATCATCAATCCAAAATTTAGAATAAAGTTTATAAAAAGTAGTATATTTCATATATCTTCCCATTTCTGAACCAGGTTTTCCACAAACTAAATGATATAATAATATCAATCCTTTTTCAATTTCCCTATGTGGACCTGGATATTCTTGATTAGTATATAAAACATTCAAAAAAAAAAGAAAACTGCTATATATCCTATTTTATTGATTAATTCTTTTTTAATTATATCTATTTCATTTATATCTTTTAGTTCTGTACGGTGATTATATTTATTTTGTATTTTTGGCCAATTTCCATCTAAAAAATACCATTCATTTACTATTATTTTATCAATTTCAATCTGTATTTTATTTTTTATGTTTATATCTTCTTCCATTTTTATTTATAAGGAAAATTCATTTTTTGAAAAATATTATATATAAGACTTTTAAATGAAAAAAAATAAACCACTAATGGGTTTATATATTTTAATGGGTTCAGGAAAAACTTTTGGTTATTTATTCGTCTATGCCACGTTATATAATTCTATAACTACACAACATTCTAAACGGTTTTCGTTCAATAGCATGATATAACTAGATGAATATTTTATATTATTTTATATTATATATTATTTTATATTTTATATTTTTATTTTATATTTTATACTTAATATTCCTCAGTAAACCTCATTGGAATAGTTAAGTTACTACCATAACGTGATAGTCTCGTCTACCTGGCCAGATAATTTTTTTAGAGTTTTTATTAATTTTTAGGATTATTGGTAAAACTCCAATGAGATATATAGGTGCGCATGCACTTGTTATTAAAGAATAATAACAAGCACCCTATACATTACTCAATGTACAAGAACCAATAAACATAACAAATATAATTATAAAACAAATGTTTTATTAATTATTTGAATGCTCTTTTTATTAATATATGAAAATTCAATTTTTTACAAAAAATTAATTTTTGATATATTAATTTATTTATATTTTTTACGAAATTACATATTATTTTCTATTTTTAAGCTTTTGAAAAATTAAAGAATTCAAGGTCGAAGGTATTCTCTCAAGAATTACCTGAGACCGTCAGACAAACACAAGGAAGAATAATATATATATGCTTTAATCATCTTATTGGTTTATTGAGCGGAACTTAAAATAATATACAATAAAAGTCTAAATTTTTCTATAATTTGTTCCTTGATCATCTTTTCCGCTCAGGTCATTACCGTCAACTTAGATCATCCATTTGCAATGTCAAATAATCAAGAAAACAATGAGATTACCCTTATTCAACAACAACTACAGGAGACCCGCCAGATGTTAGAGCAACTCCTCATCGCACAACAGCAACAGGCTGCCATGCCTGACAACACATCGGATCCACAGATGATGATGGATTCGTCACACCATCCAAGTGTGTCCCATAATACTCCAAGTCCTCTACATTCCCTTGGTACACGTCCGCAGTACGATTGGACTGCCCCGGACATTCTGTCTTCTTGCCTAAAATTGGATCGAGATCTCTTCTCTACCGAAAATATCCTCTCTGTTGAATACGAAGTATCAATTAAAAAGAATAAAGACTAGAATTAACCAGACTAAAAGATATATCTCGATTGACTTTATTAAAGACGAGTATTTATACTAAATGTGAGACACTCTTCAACTGAGATCGTAAAACTTTTCATAGAGGCTTATGAATGACAATTGAGGCAATGAGAGAGTTAGGACGAATCGGGTGTGTTGTATTTTAGCACTGAGATTGACTTATAGAGCATTCAAAGAGCTTATCATAATTTGTACAGTACCTGTCCAAATTATATTGTACATAAAAGAGTCTGTAGACAGAGTGACATCACACTAATAACCTGTGCTACAATGTGGTGTATATTGCTACCCTGTATTAATAATTTATGTATTCTT